GGTATGAAATGTCTATAAATACATTAAATCTCTAAATAAATCATTGAAATCTCTATAAATACATAAATGGCTCAGATAAATCTGAGCCATTTATTCACATAAAAAGACTTTTACATAAATTTAATATTATTATAATGTCTTTCTAAAATGTATTTATAGAGATTTCATACTATAAGATTATATTTTAGTATAAAAAACAAAAATAAAAAAATTTAATCAAAGTTCGTAAATTTAAAATTGGTATTTTGTCATTTAAAGTANGTATGTCACAAAGAAAAAAATCCATGTTCACGATTTTTTCCTGCCTTTTTAGGGTGTAAAAAAGAAGAAAATTCATTTAGAAATAGTGTGCCCCCTCAAAAAATTTTTATTTTTTTTTGGCCGCCTAATTGGCGTTTATTTGTAGAATTGCTCATATACTGACAAAATCTTTTTTTTTGAAAAAAAAAGACGAGACAATTAAACATTAATTTAATAAAATTTATCTTCCAACTCGGTGCCATTTTATATTCTTTTCTTTTTATTAAATTCTGCTGGGTCATGTTCATAGTAAAATTGAGAGTCAACTTTATCAAGTATTCCTTTCTTTTTGGTTCCGAGTCTTTCTTTTTAACCTCTTGCACTCAGAGTATTTTAAAATGGTATATAAATTGCCATTAATTTTAACCTTCGCACTCAGAGTTCATAAGGCAAGTATAATTTAAGGCAATTAAGCAATTAATTTAAGGGTAATTTAAATTAAGGCTAGTATAATTTATATAAAATATATAATGCAATATTTTTTATATAACTAATAATCATAAAATAATGTGGTAACGAAATATTAAGATACAAAAATTTTAAATTTCAAAGGGGTGAATTTTGATGTTTATGGTATGGGTGTTAATTGAGTGCAAAAGGTCAAACATGAGAAATTGATTTAACTAGGCATTATCTAAAATAATTGAAATAAAATATCTAAAACAAAATTTTACATATAAATTACATATTTAATCATTAAGACAAATCTTCTCATACCACTACAATAATTGTTAATGCATTCTAGTTCATTTATTTTAACTACATTATACAGTTATTTTCAATCTGTATATTATTTATTATTTATTTTCATCATTTATTTCAAACATAAGGAGTTATCAATTAAATTTTATTTGATTTAGTCCTGAATGTATCTATACAGAAATAGAACTGCATTTTTACTCTTTAATAGTATCGTATTTATACACATACATTTTATTTATAGCCACCCAGTATTAATTTTCAAAATTTCAATAGTTATGAAAATGAAAAAAGTACACTAAAATCGGCCAACATTTAAAAATAAATTTAAACCATAGTTCATTTTGCGCAGCTTTTAATATGCTATCATTTTTCACAACAACAAAAAAAAAAATTTATTTTTACATTTTCTATTTTTAAAGAAAGGAAGAAAAAATTTCGATTTTCAAAGATTACAACAGTATTTAAAACATGAAAATTGAATCAGTTATGAAAACTGAATAAAAACGGCAGATCTTTGAAAGATTTTCAGCTCTGGTATTACCAATAAGGAAGACTACAATAATTTGTCACTTGAGATTTTAAATAATTTATAAAAATTCAAATCCAGCAGGCTCAATTGTTATTTAAAAATAGTTTCATAACTGATTGACAATTTTTCAACTATACAGAGTACCCCAAAATTCATTTAAGAATTCAGTTTTGTGCCATTAGTGTAATGAAATTTAAAAAAAAAAAAAAGCACAGGGTTATTAAAAATTAGGTGCCATTCAAAAAATAAACAATATGAATAAATCAATGAAATAAAGAAAGCAGCGTAACAGTTGAAAATTCAGGGTCACTATTCAACAGTGCATTTTCACTGTTGAGCAATATTTTGAACAATACGAAGTCATTAAGTAAATAATCACAAGAAACTAAAGCGATAAGATATTACCTAAAACTTCTTTCACTATAAAAGTATATAAACAGCAAATAACAGTCGGCATGTTTCAAGCGCTTCAAAAATAAGCGCCCATTTTCAAGACTTGCCAGATGAGAATGAGATCATTCAACATTTCATTCACGCCTGGCGAGTCTTGAAAATGGACGCATATTTTTGTAGAGCTTAAAACTTGCAGACTGTTATTTGTTATTTATGATATTTTGAAGCGAATGATGTTTTTAATCAGGAAAATGCTGAGTCATGTTATTTCCCGTTTTTGGTAATCAGAATTGGCGATCAGATCCTGCGATTTTATGAATGACATTGGGGCATTTAGCCAATCATGGCTGCCGAAAGATTTTAAAAATGAGGGTTATTGTAAGGAGATTCTAAATACCACAGTAAACCGCCCTGGTAACTGAAGAAAAAAAGAAGGTTTATTCCTTTAAAGAATGAAATAAATCACGCTACACGAAGTTGAAGTAGGCTCATCTGATCAACGTCGTACATCTCTTTGCACTGTGATAAAAAGCCCTTGAAACTGGCAAATATTTGTATTTTTTTGAAGAGAAGTTTTAGTCATGATTATTGGTTAAGTTGGAAAACATGTCTGATAGTCATAAATAAATTTTATTGTAACAGTTACATTAACTTTAAAAAAAAAAATTGTATAAACTAATTTTTCGTTAATGTTATCGGAATAAAAGAGCCTTCAGTTACACTTCCGTGAATTTCCTGAGACTATTTTGATATGTAATGAAAAATGTGAATTTCATTTTTTCTTTAAAAGATTAGCTGCCAATATTAGCAATTTTAAGAATTATACCATTTTCAAATAAATGTGGTAAGACAAGGAAAAATCAAGCAATTTCATATATATATATATANGGAAATAAGCCTGGAAAATAAAATTATCCAGAATATAAAAAATTTTCAATTGGATTTCGCGACGAAATACTTAAACTAAATCCATTAAAAAGTAAAAATTATAATATCAGTGTACATTACGCTAAAAGACGATTTTAAACGATGTAATAAAAAATTAAAAATGGTCTAAAATTGAGTATAGGGCTTAAAAGTTTTGCTTATAATTTTGCTCATTCTCAAACTCTATATTTTACACTTCAACATAACATTCAACATAAGAGTTGAAATAATATTAAAGAATTAAAAAGCAAATGCAGATAGAAAATGATTTATCTGATAAAAAAGAATTCAACGTGATATTTTACTTTATATAAAATTTCCTTTTATTGGTTTTAGTGCCGCTTGAAGAAATATTATTTAATATTCTTCTTTACTGGTTCGACAGCCCGTTGTGAGCCAAGGCCTTCATTAGAATATTTTTTTCCATTTTGCTCTTTTCCTCGTCAGAATGTTGCAGTTTTTCACTTTTACCTCACTGGTCAACCTGAGTTTGGGCCTGCCTCTGGTTCGTGTTCCAGTCGATTTAAAATGAAAGATTATGGATGTAAGGAGGACGGGTTCATTTGGCAGATGTGTCCAGCAAATTTGAGGCAATTTATGTGGTTTATAATATCTGCCGATTTATACCGCCTGTACAGCTTATTTTTGTGTTTGTGAATACATGTACCGTTGTTTTTCACTTCTATCAAAATCATTATTTAACATTTTAAAATGTTATTGCAAACCTTTATTGTAACAACTGCTTTACATAGTAAAATGAACAATATTTATGATTTGATTAATTTAATTTAAATACTGACGCAATTTCCTGTTATTTGTAGTGTATATTCTTTCTTTTTCCTTTTTTTTGAAATATTCAGTAAGAACTTGAATGAAGTTTAATGCATTTTCTTCATCACTATATTTTTACAACTTCGCAATTTTCTTATTTGAAGTAAAGATCACGGTAGATGGACTTAAATTTAAAGTTCCATATTGGGACGACTAAAAGTTATTTCCAATAGAAATCTTTAGATTATATTGTGTTTACTGCATTATTTTTGATTTCTTATAATATTATTTAAAATTAAATTTGTATTGCTTTATGTACAGACTCAAAAACATACAATTTAGTTATACAGAATACTTGCCTCTACAGAATACTTGCCTAAATAATAATTCAGGATTTTTTTTAATTTACACCATTGACCCAAAATGTACACTAAATGCACAATAAGATAAAAGTTGGTGGAGCATTGAATCACGAACTTGATTTTCATTAAAGAGGGATTCTCATAAATATGAAATACATAGCAAAAAAATATTTTAGGAAATTATTTTAACATAGTAAAAATTATTGCATCATTGCAGGTTTATTATAACTGAAAATGTTTGGAAATAAGCCTGGAAAATAAAATTATCCAGAATATAAAAAATTTTCAATTGGATTTCGCGACGAAATACTTAAACTAAATCCATTAAAAAGTAAAAATTATAATATCAGTGTACATTACGCTAAAAGACGATTTTAAACGATGTAATAAAAAATTAAAAATGGTCTAAAATTGAGTATAGGGCTTAAAAGTTTTACTTATAATTTTGCTCATTCTCAAACTCTATATTTTACACTTCAACATAAGAACATTCAACATAAGAGTTGAAATAATATTAAAGAATTAACAAACAAATGCAGATAGAAAATGATTTATCTGATAAAAAAAGAATTCAACGTGATATTTTACTCAATAATCAAATATAAAAGAAACTTTATGAGCGGAACGTAAAAAAATATATTTTTAGCTGCCTAGATTGCGTAAAAACCCCCACTTAGAGGTCATTTTTTCTTTTAAATCTAAGATTTTAGCCATCAAGCCAGGGCTGGATTATCCATTAGGCCAGACTAGGCCATGACCTGAGACCCCCAATGATTAGAGGCCCCCTAAATAGGGATTTTTTGAAAATAAATTTTAAAAAATTAAGAAAAACAATGATTTTTCAGTTTTTTTCAAAATGATAAGATTATTTTTTAGTTCTAATTTAATAAAATAAAGTAAAATTTAATTTATTATTATTTATTTTAATTTTAAACAAGCTTTCTGAAATGAAAAGATATATAAATACTTTTATATGTGAATAAATAAAAAATATATGAGAAAAAATTTAATCTAAGGGCCCCAAAAATTTGAATGGTCTAGGGCCCCGCGTTCGCTTAATCCGGCCCTGCATCAAGCGATAGCAAGGAAGTTGAGTAGAAATTAATTAATTACCAACGGGTATAATATATTCCAGGCATAACCATGTACTGTATTTTAAGAATCAACAAATAAAAAATCACAATTTTTAGCTAAAAAACGCCTTTTCTTTTACAAATACTACTTGCATGAATTTTATGGCACCCTGTACATGTTGAAATCACATTTTTACACCAATATACTGTATAATTAGAACATTTTTAAAAAAAATTTCAGTACTTAAATAATATTTTTAGTGTATTAAAATATTTTTAACAGCATAATTTTGAGAAATGTTTTGACACTAAAAAAATATTTCATCTTACGCAATTACGTGAATCACAATGACACCTAAAAATATAAAATGGAATGAAGTTTTGCATGTAACTTGTTGCTTCAAAAAGTGTAAAAACAGCGACTGAAATTTCTAATTGAGTGCATATAGTGCATCACAAACAATATGCTAAAGCATTTAAGAAAATTATAAATATGGATAATTAAATTCAAAACAGAACAAAAAAAAATCTCTAAATTAAAAATACAATCAACAATAAATCACAGCCCATAACTATAGGCATTGTTCTCAAATTATAATTTCAAAAAAATGAATTAAGCTGTAATGAAATAACCCATTTAACTAAATCTATAATTTTAAGAACAAAATTAAATTTAAAAAAAAGTATTTATTTAATGTATCATGAAAAAAAGTATCAGCACATAGATACATTTGACTTCAACCATCATTTAACATTTTGTCTACATATGGTTCAGTGCAAATTGATACTCATTACAACCTTGTAAACAAACCCACTCTTTACAATCACAACACCTTAGTTACATTTAACACCATTTTATTTATCTATGCACAAAATGCATGCACGCACCATTCTCTAAATCATTTGGAACATTTTGCACTGATTGGAATGAGAAATATTTAATATATATATATTTATATTTTTTTTTTTATTTCTGGTATCTTATCACCATCCAATGAAGCTTTTTTTATTTTAATTTCCAGCCAAGGAGAGAGAGATCATCATTTTCAGCTCAGAAGACCACTGAAAGGCCAAGATTGCCCAAGATTTGACAGCAGCTTATTTTTTCCAAGCGAAACGTTGACAAAACAAAGCCTATTTTATTTCCCCTTTGATAATTTTGGTTACGAGTATGGTCTGTCGAATCTCAACCTAGACTCCATCTTTAGCCACTGAAACAAAGAATATCGAAATATCATTAGTATCATGCAGAAAGAAAAACAATATGACCATTTTCCTGATACAATGAATGATTTTTTTGATTCAAAAAAGAGAAAATTGTGATCGCATTATTGCATTTTGGATACCCATTGATGAAAACTTTTTTTTTTCCTTTTCTTTTCGGGATAGACTTTCATAAACGCGACAGCATTTCAAATTCTGGGTTTCAAAAATTGCATCAATTCATGTTTATCCTTTTGCCTCCCAATGGGCAGGATTAATTGATTATTCCAAACAACTGAAGAAGCCACAATTTTTTTCCTTCTTAAATATTTATATTTAAATCCCTACCAAGACAGCAATTATGAATAAGTTAATCATAAAACGAGCGTAAAAATACTTTAGATTAATATTATGTGAAATAATATTAATTTAAAGTATTAAAATAAAAAAACTTATGCTGGAAAATAATCAACTCTAAGAAATTCCAAAACTATCGCCTGCCTTTTTAATTTGATGTTGTTGTGCTGCTTTTTTATTGAAGCTTACATAAGCTTGAATTTTTTATTATTACGACTCTTTGCTTGTGATTATAGTGTTAAAGTTGATCTAGACGAAAAGTGTCAAGAAAATTCTAGAACAAAACCCATTTTCCCAAAGGGTAATATTAAACAAGTTTCTGCTCTGTAAAATGTGCCTTTTTTAAATACTGATAATAGAGTGGGCAAAAAAAAAATTATAATAATAACACACCTGAATTATTTTCAACCTGCTAATTAAATTTCTTTGTACTCCAAAATTATCTCCGTGATTTAACGAGCACTCATGAAACATTCTTTTAATAATGAATCAAATTTATAAATTAGGTTAATTAGTAATTAAATTTATTAATTATATTAGTTTTAATTAGTAATAATTATCAATTAAATCCAGCTCAGAAGATCACAGGAACATATTTTTTCTCAATGAAATGCTGATAAAACCAACACAGAATATCAATTAATTATGACTTTCATCGAAGTTTGACGAACGTACGAATCTCCATAATTTATGAAGCTCGACTGCAATATTCTTTTAACTTAGGATTATACCTAAACATCTCAAATAAGAAAATCATCTAATACTTACATGTATGACCATAGAGGGCCCGCCTATAGTGACATCAGGTGGGAGATCTGACAGGGGGCAGTTCTCAATGCTCATAATCTGTAAGTTCGAGCACAAAGCCAGTTCTGAGGGCAGCTTATGCAGATTGGGATTATCATTTATGTACAAAGATTCTAAGTTCTGTAACTGGCCTAGAACATTAGAAAGAAAATAAGAAGACAGCTATTTTAATATTTATTTAATGCATTGCACGTCTACAAACCTATAATGTCTGTGATAAAAACTTTCCCTATAGGTAGCGAATTTAACACTAAGTTTACTGGACACGTCATTTTGACGCATTTCGAATTTTATAAGGTGTGTGTGTGTTTTTGGTGTTTTTCATTTATGTCGCACTAGGGCTGCACAGTGGGCTATTGGCGACGGTCTGGGAAACATCCATGAGGATGATCCGAAGACATGCCATCACAATTTTGATCCTCTGCAGAGGGGATGGCACCCTAGCTTCGGTAGCTCGACGACCTGCACGCGAAGTCGAGCACTTTACGGTAGAACAGTTTAACGAGGACCAATACCGCACACCCTCGGTCCCAACGCAGACTTATCCTAGTGGTCACCCACTCGCACACTGACCGCAGCCAGTGATGCTTGACTTCGGTGATCTGCTGAGAACCGTGTCTTAACGATCAGTCCACTGCGGGACGAATTTTATAAGGAAAATTACAAAACCCGCTTGCATTTTTATTTTATCTCTTGTAATGACTTTTATCCATTGATCGAGGTAAATATATATTGAAGTCTATTTTCTTCAAAAGCGTTGAAATATTGAAATTCTCTTTGTGGTATACCTATCACTACGGATATGCCTCAATTTGACGCTATCGTAATTTAGACAAAATTTAGAGTAAACAAGCAATTATCACATCAATAATAAATAGGAATGTACCGACAATACTTCGATCCATTATCCGATATTGTTATCTCAAATGAAACCAGCGATAAACAACTGTTGCCGATAAGAAATAATAGAAAGAACAAACGCAGAATTTGAATTGATGTCAGATTTTGAAGGTTTCAGTTGCTTAGTTTCGAAAAATAAAATACTAGAATATTTCATAAATATATATCTCATATTTTGATTTTTTTTCTTATAGTACATAATTACATTGCTTTCTAATTGAAGAGATGCATTGAGAGATAACAATAAATTTACTAACCATATAACACTACTTCATTCTGAAAATATTTAATAGCTGGGATGGGAGCCGTGGTGGCTCAAGGGGTAGAGCATTCGCTTTCCAGTGAGGTGAACCGGGTTCGAATCCCATCAATAGCTGGTTGATACGAATTCCGTACCCAGCTCGCACCGAACACAGCTCTGACGTAAAATATCCTTAGTGGTAGACGGATCATGGATTAGAGTAGTCCCCTTGCAGTCAGACTAACCGTGGGTAGTCTTCGTGGTCTTCCTCTCCATGTAACGCAAATGATGGTCAGTTCCATCAAAAATACATCCATGAAGGCAAATTTCTAACAATACTTGATCCACGAGTTCCCTTGATTTCTGGATTGAGTTCAAAATTACAAGGCTACTGAGGTGAACATTAGTAGTCGTAAATTCTAAATTGGATTGGCTGTTCAACGAGGGTTTTAAAATAAAATAAAATTACAGGGATGGAGACGCGGTAACTCAGGGAATAGAACGCTCGCCTCCGAATGAAGTGACCCAGGTTTGAATCCCAGCGATGACTGGTCGATACGAATGCTGCACCGGGCTCGCGTCGATCACAATGCTGGCGTAAAATATCCTCAGTGGTAGACGGATCATGGTATAGAGACCCCCTGTGGTCAGGCTGACCGTTTGATGTTTTCGTGGTTTTCCTATCCATGCAACGCAAATACAGGATAGTTCTATGAAAAAAATCTTCCACGAAGGAAACTTTCACCCAATACTTGATGCAAAAGTCCCTTTGTCTTCTGGATCGGGTTCAAAATTACAAAGCTACGGAGTTGAACATTGGTAGTCATAAAGTCAAAATTGGGTCGACTGTTTCAACGCTGGTAAAAAAATTAAATAAAATTCTAATAACGTAAAGTCACCGGGAAGGACGAAGTCTAATAAATTTTAAAGAAAATTATTTTAGCTTTATTCAGTGTATTGGTATAGTCTTTTAATTTTGTTCTGTAAATTTGTTCAGTACTGATATATTGATTGTTTCCTTTTTTTTGTCCTGCACGAAGAAAGGATATTCAGCCAGTAAAAAATCAAAATACTACAGAATTATTTTTAACCGCATGAACGCGAATCTAATTATTTAGAATAAAGTTAAAGATAATTTACATTTAGTTTTTGCATAAAGTTTTTTTATAACCGTCGTTTAACAGCCGACCCAATGTTTTGGGTTTACGACTACTAACGTTCAACTTTGTAGTCTTGTAATTTTGAACCCAATCCAGAAGACAAGGGAACTCGTGGATCAAGTAGTGGCAAAAATTTGCCTTCGTGGAGAACTTTTTTGATGCAACTAACCCGCATTTGCGTTACATGGAGAGGAAGACCACGAGAACCTCTCACTGTTACCCTGACGGCAAAGGGGCTCTAATCCATGATCGGTCTACCACTGACGATATTTCACGTCAGCACTGTGGTCGGTGCGAGCCGGATGCGGATTCGTATCGACCAGCCATCACAGAGATTCGAACAGCCATCGCGGCTCTTGTATAAGGTTTGACTAAAATGTTAAAAAAATATCCAATTTCGGTTGGAAAACAATGAATTTTAACCTGTTAACGTACAGTGGTGATAAACAGGTGCTCCTGGATGGGTGGTCACGGGAGGTTGCTGTGACCTCCCAAACATTTTCACTATTCAGAAAATTTTGATTGACCATTCTGCATATTTACAAAAATTTATTTTCAGTATTTTTACTTCGAAAACATAAATTAAATTATGATTAGCGCGTCTTACTTTCGTTAAATTTCTAATTTATTTAAAGTAATTAAATTGTAAAGCTCTGAGGATTGAGGAGCAATAAATAGCAGAGGGCCTATAATGTAATTATAATGCGTAAAAAAATATCAAGACACAAACAATTGGGGTACTAAATAAAAATAAGAAGAAAAGAATGAGAAAATCGCTCGGAAATAGCTGCGTCAGAAATTTCGGGCGTTAGTGAGGGATAGTGAGCAAGAAGCAGAGGGAGTATAAAATCTATCAAGTGATTATAACCTCTCTAGTGATTATAAAAAAAAACGTTAAGAGCTTAGAGCCGATATAAATTATATACGTATCCATTGAATTGGTGATAGGCTCTAATAAAATTCCTTTGTTGCCATGATGAAAAAAATTAATTCTTATCTGCATCTGCAAATTATCAATAGTAATTTTTGTTGAGGAAAAACTTTAATCGCATTTATCTGAAGCAGTTTTCTTCTACGTCCGCATGTTATAGTTATCAGACTGTTCTGATTCGCCGTTAACTTCGAGCCCAAGAAGGCTATAAATACATGTAACTCTGTCTATCCAATGTTCTTTTCTATTTGTCCTGTCCCAGTGTACGTTTCTATACTCTCTGTGTCATGTTCTAATAAACGTGTCCTTTTCTGATCCACTGATCTCTGGATTTCATTACATCAACAATTTTAAAAATAATAATTTTCATTTCATCTGCTTATATAATGGTCTTATTTATTGAATTATTATTAATTATGTCTATTAAAATTGGAAAAATTAAGCTTGATTAAGATCATTACTTTATTTTTTAAATATAACAAATGTAATTTAAGTTCAGCAAACTATTTGTTTAAAATCATTTTTTTAATTAATTACTTTTTTTTTTCTTTCTTTTTTAACTATTTAAAATATATTTTCATTTTAAAGCATAATTCTCTTTCTACCTATTTTATTTCGATCTGAAATTCGACCAGATTACTAAATTATTTGATTCATGGGATAGTGAAAAATTATGTCTTCATCTTAATTGTGAATCAATTTATTTATTTATTTTTTATGTTTATTTAACAAATGGTTCATTATTTATTGATTAGAATAAAAATAAGGCATTCAGCCCTTTAATGTGTTAGGGTTTTCATGGAGGATGTGGTAATCGCTGATTGTGAGAATGTTGTCCGCACACTTTGCGCACAGGAAGCCTTTACTTCCAATACAAAACCCCATCGATCTGAGTCTGGATGTGCTCCAAGCCACCAATGGGGACTGAGCCCCAGTTCTTAATAGTTCAATACCTTACCCGTTGAACAATCGCAGCTCATTGATTAAAATAATTAAGTATAAAGTAGATAAATCAGTAAGGTGGAAAAATAACACAGAATGAAAATATTAGCAAAAAAATAATAATTTTTTTGCTAAAACTGAAAAAATTACATACTTATTAATGATTTGATCAAATTCAAAATTTCATTCGGAAAAATAGGAATTCCCACCCTCCCAAAGATATAAGTTAGCGGCGCCCCTTGTGATAAATTCGAGTTTTGGCGAAGATTCTAAAACAATACATTTCTAGGAGATTGTGTCATCACCTCCTACATCAAAAAGCCTCCACGCGGTCTTTTATAAGTAGTCCGCGCAGACTGTTTAAAAAGTGAACCAGTTGTGCGCATGAACCCAAAATCTTTTATAAAAGTAATTGAGAGAAATTTATCTTATATATTTGAGAATTGATTCTGTAGTGGTTGACAAGTGAATAAGGCAAACCAATAAGATTCATAAATAAAACAAATTTTTAGTCATATATTTGCTACCACTTTCTTATTTTAACTAGATTTTGTATTAAGTGACTCGTTCGGAAAATGGAGATCCTTCACAGTGGTATGATCAGACTACCTATAAAAAAAAACGTGTGGAGGCTTTCAATTATAGAAGGTGTTGATTGTGTCAAGTGATATTCGAGATTTATAGAAAGTGAGTATCCCTTACCGATTCCAGGGGGTATAGAATCCAGATAGTTTTCTCCAGCGCTCATGTAAGTCAGATTGGTCAGGCAGCCAATCATACTTGGCAAACGCTGAAGTCGGTTGCTTTGCACTATCAATTTCTGCAAATTTTGAAGATTGCCTGAAAGAGAAACAAAACAAAAAATGTACTTATCATATAATTCTTCCAGTTAAATCAAGATTTTAATAGAAGGCTTCGCTCGCCAATGCCACTTTCGGTCCGCCTTTTGATTCCTTTAAACAGTTTGTTATATCAAAACTAAAAATTATATAAATTTAACCTATTACGGGCCAACTTCTCAGGAACGTTTTCCAACGTGATAAAGACTGCCAGCTCAAATACTTCATTTTCGAAATTTATCTTGAAAGTAGAAAATATTCGGAGTCACGGTAATTTATTAGTATTTCCAATATATATATTTTGATTTGAAATTAGGTCATTACGATAATTTAAAACGAAAGTGGTAAAAAACATTAGATTAGTACAGTGGTCCCCAACCTTTTCGTACCTAAGAGCAAATACCAGAATATCGGTCGAATGGCGGGCACCATTTATTTTTTCAAGATAAATTTATAGTTGATAGACATAGGTAATAATACACACTACATAAAGTGCACAAAAAATTAATTTTAATAATTAATTTAACATATGAATATAATTAGTATTAATATTCTTGTGTAAATTAAATCATTACTAAATTGCTTTCAAAACATACGAAGCATAAAAATTACTTATAAAATACAGTTAGTGTGGTGTTTGGCATGGCATTTCGCTGGCCAGCACTACATAAGTGGGAGAATATGATGCTCTTTTTAAGAATGGAATTTATTCCTTCAACTATGTTCTAAAATTTCTCATGTGATATAATAGTTTTGAGGATGTCGTTCTGAAGATCCACAATTTCTATCTCCAATTCCTCTCGCTTTACTTGAAGAAATTCTGAAATGTAAGCTGCTATTACGGTTACGTTTATTTCGATGGTAAAAGGATTAATAAAAAAGTTATCTAACAAGGGAAACTAGGGAAGTGTGACTCGCCAATTTTGAAATAAACTAGTGGGATGTATGCCTTATGAGGAATAATTTTAGGGGGCAACATTCGTTTCGGCCCATAGAAGGTTCTGTGAGAGATAAAAAATAATTCAATATATAGAAAAATCGGTATTTTATTACTTCAATGCAGACTATTAGTTATTATAATTGTCTCATACTCCAATTAATTTTGTGGTACTGTACTATATAATGCATATTTATTGTCAAAATTGATTTCGAAAGTTTTATATATCTGTAGTTTTTCATAAAAACCTGTTAGGTTAATTTAAAAATATAATTGACATCAAATTTTTTAAATTTTTTTTTCGAAAAACTTTCCAAATTAATTGGAGTATGTAATTGCAAATCAATTAATTAATTAATAATTAATTAACAATCAATGAATAATTAATCAACAATTAATTAATAATTAATTAATTTTTTGATTAATTTATTAATTAGCAAATTAATTCCAAATTAATTGGAGTATGAGACAATTACAATAACTAATAGTCTGCATTGAAGTAATAAAATACCGATTTTTCTATATATTGAATTATTTTTTATCTCTCACAGGACCTTCTATGGGCCGAAACGAATGTTAATTAATTTATTAATTAGCAAATTAATTAATTATCCAATTAATTACAAATTAATTGGATTATGAGACAATTACAATAACTAATAGTCTGCATTGAAGTAATAAAATACCGATTTTTCTATATATTGAATTATTTTTTATCTCTCACAGGACCTTCTATGGGCCGAAACGAATGTTAATTAATTTATTAATTAGAAAATTAATTAATTATCCAATTAATTACAAATTAATTGGATTATGAGACAATTACAATAACTAATAGTCTGCATTGAACTAATAAAATACCGATTTTTCCATATATTGAATTATTTTTTATCTCTCACAAGACCTTCTATGGGCCGAAACGAATGCTGCCCCCTAAAATTGTTCCTCATAAGGCATACATCCCACTAGTTTATTTCAAAATTGGCGAGTCACACTTCCCTAGTTTCCCTTGTAAGTCTTGATGATATTAAAATGTTGAAAGCGCTTTTTAAATTGATCTTTAGGCAATTGGAGGTTGATGACAAATGTTAATAAGTCTATCTCACTGTCACCTATCATTTTTTTCATGTTTGGAAACTGCACAGGAGACTTCATTTTTAAAAGTGATATCCACAAAACTAGTTTAGCTCTCTGAACGAGTTCACAGCCTCTATCATTTTTGCTTCATATTTGTCCTTTCCCTGCAGCTCCAAGTTTGAATTATTTAGTTCTTCCATTATGTCCGTTATAAAAGACAAATCTGCTAGCCAAAAAGGATCTCTTAGTTCTAAAAATGCTTGATTTTTGGCTTCAAAATAATTTTTTATTTCTCCAATTAAATGTAGAAATCTATCAAGTACTTTGCCTTTACTGAGTCAGCGTACTTGCATATGTATTTGCAATGGATTTATTGGGAAAATGGAAAACTGAAATATTTTATTGTTGGACACAAGCAGCGGGTGCACTTAGATCGATCGACGGGCGCCAAGGTGCCCGCGGGCATAGGGTTGGGGACCCCTGGATAAGTATAAGTATAAGTATAAACGTTCTACGTTTTTATCATAAAAATGCTTTTGAAGTCAAAATAAAATGTTACCTTTTAACGACAGAGCTGCTAACTTTTACGCTCGTAAAAAACACTTTTCACAGTTATAGGCATATATTTAATTCAGTTTTTGCCAATAATGCGGCTGCTCCGCTTTCTGCCAAAGTGTTAATAAATTGGTAGCGAATTAAATAGTAAAACTTGTTGAATAGGAATATCTACGAGCACTTTTCTTAAGTGTCACCACGAGATAACTGTAGTACAGTTGCATTTCTTTTGATACTTTGAACTTTTGATCCGTAGTGGTGCAAAAATTACTCAATATAAAATAATAACTTTTACCCCTTGAAAAAATCTTTTTACGAAGCACATTGCATCTCTAGTAAAAAAAAATCATCGAAATTTTTCTGGGCTCCTGATGCAGTTAACGGTTTTTTCCCTCTCTAGTAAAATGATTAGTAGGTCTTCTTCATACATGCTTTTAGTATTTAAATGTACTGGTAGCAAAAAATCATAATTAATTGCCAAAATAACAGATGTCAATTTACTCCGTTTGTAAAAAAAAAATTTCTAGTAGTAATGAAATTTAAGTTATTTGTAGTTCAGTGTTTTTCCTTTTAACACGTTCACGCCGGGGTAACCCACCGGTGGGTCACGCTAGATTGTCTCATCATGGCAGCGCACCGGAGTAAAAACTGGTAACAATAAATTTCAGTTTTCAGTTTTTTTCCGAGAATAATAAAAATCCGTAACTACCAATTGCTTTTAACGGTTGCAATTTTTATATTGAATTGCTTCTTCCCCGTGATAAATTTCCCTACAGTGAATTGTTATTGTTGAGAATCGCTTAACTCCTCCCGAATATTATCTAATATTGAAATAGTTCTTCTACCAGTATTTTCTCTGTACCAGTATTTTCATTTTTTCCGGCGTTAATGTGTTAAGTAATTTTTCCATCACAACATATGAAGAATTCAAAGTATTATATGAAATACAACTTTGTTGCATATAGCATTTTTAAAGAGTAGGCGTTATTATCCTTATTCTACAAGTTTTACTATTTAATTTGCTACCAATTTATTAAAACATTTGGAGAAAATAGAGCAGTTGGTATCCCTTAAATAAGAATGCATCATCAGTGAACTTAAAGACTTGCTGAAGGACCAAGGCGTGCTGCATCTTCTCACAACTTCAATCCAGGGGATTTCCCCATCCAACTGATGTACTACTGAATCAACTCATGCCTAACCTCTTCATAGACTTATTATCTGATCCTAACTTTAAACTGTATATGACCTCTAGTCTAAATGCCAAAACAGTATAGATGAATCTGTTAGAAGCGCTTAACGCCGAGATTCCACTCATATCAAGCAAGCAAATATTTTGTCAACTCATTAAATATAAAAGTGGAATCTTCCAGAAAAGTTGGCTGGTAAGTAATGGTTTTAATAACTTTTTTTTGCAGCATACTTGCCAAGTTTTCCCGCTTTAGATGAGAGATTTACTCAAATTACCAAAGCAAAATTTATATTTAATTACATTTTATTATAGTTTTGCCAATCATGTATTGCACGTACATATAGTCAAAGCTGCAACTACTCAGCTTTTTGCAAAATATTTTGATGAATGGTAGACAATTAAAGAGTAAAGCTTTCAGAATTTTTGCTAATTTTACCAATATATCACCAAGTGAGAACAAAGTGTCGTTGCATATAAATTTTACTAAAATTGAACTTGGAAAATAGCTTTAAATAAAATTTACAACTTACAAATTTCTTCTGGCAAAGCCACCAGCTTGTTTTCTTCCAGATCCAGAACAGTGAGATTTTTAAGGTTGCCGATTGTTGGCGGTAACCTTTTCAAAAGGTTGTTGCTGAGGGTGAAAATCTCCAACTTCTGCAAAAACTGAATCTCATCCGGAATTGTGCTTATTTGGTTGGTGCCTAGGTTGAGCTCTACCATGTTGCTCCACGTACCAATATCTGCAGAAACATAGCTAACAGTTAACAACTTCACAGAACTGTTAACTTCATAAGTATGAAAATTATTCTAAATAAATTGGTGCAAAATTGAAGAGCTGAGTTAATGAAGATTTATAGTGACATCGTAGTAGGTTTGAATAAAGTAGCTTTATAGTTCATTCGCTGTCAATAGTATATTATGGATGTTTTTATACCCAAGTAGTACAGGGATATTGTAACAGCTTTAGTCTACATCGACCGATATTGTCAATATTGGCGAAAATCGACATTGTGTGTACAATATTGTACTATCCCCGTCGATTTCACATTAAAAGTCTGTCTGTAAAACATTTCATTTTAAACTTTATCGTGTTCTTAAATCAAAATTAATCATAGTCATACAAGAAATGACATCAAATTGTTATAATTCCAAAAAATAAATTTAAAATATAAATTTAGTAGTATTTGTAAATGCTGAGAGATATCGATCGACGTTCCCCATCGTTTTTACAATATCGAACAATATTGTTTCGCGATATTGAATATACGTTATAAAAGGGGTCCATTTTTATATAGTACAATGTTTCGCTACGATACAATTGTTAAAAGCTAAGCTTTTACGATATCGTTTTTGTGAATTGTGCTACTTGGGTATTGCGTTTTCACGCTTCCAAATTGCAAAATTAGAAAATATCAAGCACTCATTTGAACTCTTCGCGTCATAGCGTTCGTATTCTTGGCCTTATAATTTTCTACCAAAAAACATGCTTTATAACAGTGATCTCCAAACATATGAAGCTTCTAAACGACTTTACCTATTTTAAATTGTAAGCTACCAACAAGAACGTTCAATTTTCTTTTCAATTTCATAACGTTTATTGCCTATTAACTATTAGCCAGTTAGTCAGTATGTTAATGGTATACATATTAGTATATTAGATAACTGGAGTGTTATTGCGATCTGCTGAAATGTCGACGGTTTGGCGATCATGTAGGTTTATTGTCGACTGTCTGTCGCCAAATGCAGTACTGAAAACATTGATCTGAGGTCAAAACTCAACGGAGGGGCAAGTAATTTTTTTTTTTTTTCATTTTATCAAAATTTTTAAATGCGTCATTTAGCACCTTCATCCGCTAATCTATTCAATTTTAACATTTAACACATTGTTACATACCCTCCAACTTATGAGGATTTTGAAAATAATTCTTTCTAGTGGTAGCGAACCAAAGTAGAAATTTTTAAAGCAAATGGATCTCTCATAAAACTTTTATCAGAACTTAAGAATCTAGCCATATGGCCTGCACTTTTATAAGTAATAGAGGACAAGTTACGCTAAAATTATTTTTTTTTAAATATTAAGACATTAATTTTGCTACCGTCTGAAAAGAAGATTTCTGAAACTACGGAAATTCCGTAGCAGTTGGAGGGTATGTTGTTATCAAGCGTCAGCTTCTTTTTCAAAAAACATTAAAAAACTGATGTTATACATATTTTAGAATCAGCATTTATTTTATTCATTGTTTCCATACTTTATATTTGCGTGCTTATTCTCTAACCAAACGAGAAGAAATGTCAGTGGTAGGTTGCGTCAGAATGAAGTTATATGCATAAATTTGTAAAAAAAAATTCTATGTACGTGCTACATCATTCTGACGACACCTATCACTGAAACTTCTAATCACCTTGTCTGATAGTTTAAAAAAAAAGACCTACCTAAGGGAAGTGACGTGAGTTGGTTTTCTTTCATGTTTAACTTTGTGAGATTCTTGGCTCTAGAGAATATTCCAAAGGGAATTTTGTTGATCATGTTGTGCTCCATATTGATGGACTGAAAAATAATACTATTGTTAAAATTTTGTTAAAACAGTTGTTTGCAGCTAAAATAATGCTTGTTGGAGAAAAAAAATTTAAATAAATAAATAAGATGCTTTACAAAAATAAATAAAGTAGTTTAAAAAGTTTTGCAACAGATTGACATGTTCTATGTATTATACACTCATGGACAAAAAAAATAGCGCACCAAGAAGGAGTCGTCAAAATAAAACGAAGTTTTACACACGTAATGACTACTTTGATATAAGTAAATGATTAGAAACTCAAAGAAAAAAGGATAATTTATATCAGAGAAAAAGGCAAAAAAACGGAGGAGTTAATACCCTGTTGGACCCCCTCAAGTGCGAATGCACGATGCGATACGATCGGGCATTGAGGCATACAAGTTCTGTATGATGTCTTGAGACATTTCGTTCCATATTTGCTGTAACCTTGCCTCTAGTTAGTTCAAACTCGTGGGATGCCCAATTCGCCGTCCCAAATTATCCCAGATATGCTCGATTGGAGACAAATCTGGGGATCGGGCAGACCAAGGAAGGGTAGTAACAGTACGGAGACAGTCTTGTGACACCCTTGCCGTATGAGGCCGAGCACTTTATTGTTGAAAAATGCATGAGTGGCAACACATGTGGTTGCAGGATTTCATGGACATACCGCTAGTCTGTCATGGTGCCACGGAACAATACTAGGGGTGACCGTTTATTGTAGGCAATGGCACCCCATACCATCACACCAGCTGTGGGAGCGGTATGTCGCTGTGCAGCACAGGCAGGATTGAGGCGTTCACCACGGGGTCTCCACACACGAACACGATTGTCATCACTGCTGAGATTGAATCTGGATTCGTCGCTAAAGACGACCTGGTTCCATTCCGCTGCAGTCCATTTTCCTCGTGCACGGCAAAATTCCAAACGGCGGCGTCGATGGGTGGGCGCAATTATTTCTTGGTGCGCTAATTTTTTTGTCCATGAGTGTATATTAGTAATCAAATTAAACTGAAGAGCAATTAAGAATTGAAAATTAGGGAGAAGTATTAAATATTCAGGGTGTAAATTGCGCTTCATTAGGAAAATCTTCTGTCACATATTGATAGCAACAGCTGAACAATTTATACTGAAATATCTATAATTTAATAAAGATAACGATATTTTAAAAAGTATTCTCGTAATATATCATGAATGAAAGACCTTATGATAATAATAGCACACCTGACAACTTTTACGCATTTGGCGTAAAATAATATTTTTATATTTAAAGTGGTAGTAAATATATACTATTTTTTATTTTATAAACTTAAATTTAAACTGATTTTGATTACCAGTATTCTTAAAAGAATTTAGCATATATATTAATATGTATTACTATCATGGATGTCAACTGATGATTTTTCAAATACTACATATTTTTTTGCTTACAATTGAAAATTTAATTCCATTTTAATACCACTGGGAAAAAGCATGATGGAAGTAATTAAAAGTTGGCAGGTATGTAATAGAATATAAGGTAGTAATTGAATATGCTGTAATTATTGAAAACGATTATTATTAAATTGTAATAACTGAGAATTATCAATAAATTGAATGCTTGAATACGATGATATCGCCAGTATTTTTTATAGTGATAAATGCGATATTTTCTTGAATTCGACTTTTTTTTAGTGTTGCGTAACTGTTGACTTTGCCTAAAATTTTATTCTTTTAATTAAAGTGGTAGTGAAAATTATGTTCTCCATTTAATATTTGGACTGTCATTATCATTGGGATAATAATTTTCGAAAAAATTAAAAGTTGACAGGTAGAGTTTTGATAAATTTCATGCGAATAACGAAAATATTGATCAATGTAAAACTAAGGTAAATACGAAAACTAACGCAATAAAATATCGATATTTTAGACCAGATACCGAGATAGTGGAATTCCAATAAAATCCATCACTGTTGATAACACGATATTTTTTAATACTTTGAAAAGAAAATTGTGGCTCTTAGAATCGACTAATTTGATTTTTGTCTCCTAATCATTATCAAGAAAAGGCGAATGAAGATAAATTATCTATAAACCCTAATAAACATTTCTTCAAACAAATTAACTTAAATAATAGTAACTGTGAGCTGTCTCACCGATCCGCCAATCGCTCTGTAACGTGAAGGTAGCGAGTTCGAATCTCGGCGTATCCCAGGATGTATCTTTGTGATGTCTTTTTCTAATTTTTGCTATCAGTTCTTTAACCCTTTCGCACCGACTGTCATAGATACGGCCAGCATAAAACCATATCAATCAGGGTAAAAATATAAAACTGGTAATCAAAGTATTTCTTTAGCAGTTTATTTGTGGGTGGAGTTATAATTGTTTGATTTATTTAATTCACCATTACTTTGTTCAAAATAAAACTATTTCGTTATACTTTGAATTAACATTGATTATATATATGATTAAACTAACAATAATTAAAGTAAAAGCAAAGTAAGTCTGTCAAATTAGCAACGACTACATTTAAGTTACCGTTTTTTATTAAACTACAACTTGATTAATTTACAACTTTTCTGAATCACCCGTCCCCAAAAGGTTAATTAGACAAGAACTTAAAAGTCGTTTTTTATTTTATTTTATAACTGGTTTCGAACAGTCGACCCAATTCTGAGTTTAACTCTATCAAAATTCAGTTCCGTAACCTTGTAATTTTGAACCCAACCCAGAGAGACCAACCAGGCAAGAGATCTCCTGTATCAAACATTGGGAAAAACTAGCTTTTGTAGAGGATGTTTTGATGGAACTAACCCTATCTTCTGTTACATAGATAGGAAAGCCACAAAACCTCCCACAATTAGCCCAACAGCAAGCGGGATTCTAACCCTTGATTGGTGAGAATGATTGACATGAGAACATTTAACGTCAGCGCTATGGTTGGTGCGACTTGGGAGCAGAATTCGTATCAACCAACCACAGTCGAGATTCGAACCTGGGTTTTCTCATTGGAAGGCGCATGTAACTCCATCTCAATAGCTACCGCAGCTCAATGTCATCTTTGTATGAGCACACAAGTCAGCATATGCATGTGTGACAATAAATAAATAGTGCTTTGGAGATAATTCGGTATCAGAACTTGTTCGCACGAATAGGTTTTTGCACTTGCAAAAACTTTTAAACAAATATGTAAGGCTTGCCCTGACACTTTGAATTCTTTCTCTTAAGAGATGTTTTTCATTGTTTTATACTTGCCGGTTGTCCTCAAAATGTTGCCAAATCTTTCGTGTAGGTAACGGAACATAAATATATACAGTGCTTTATGTAGCTGTATAGAAAAAAAAGCTTACATATATGTTGGTAAACTGTGAGGGTCCACCAATAGGGTATGATGTGAAAGCATTTCTAGATATAGTCAGACTAGACAGATTGAGGAGGCTAGATAAAAGACCTTCCTGAAAATAAATTACAAAAGAATGATTAAAACATGATATACAATTAAACAAGTACACTAAAAATACTAATCGACAGAAAATTAAAATATTAAACAATTGGCTTGCTTCTTTTTGCTGGTAAACACTGGGTCGTAAACATTTGCTTTGAAATAGATTTTTGTTATAACTCCTATGCATTACACCACAAATGAAAATTAATTAAAAGCAAAGGTATTTAAATTCAATTCTTGACGTTGAGGTTACTTTAATTACTTAAATATCTATAAATCTTGTTCTTTAGCAAATTCTTGAGGATGTTGAAGACATAAGGAATATCAGAATTAAAAAGCACTCCGAAAGAGAACTTCTAAAAATTGTTTCTAAACTTTCGATTCTGTAATTACACTAAAATAAAATTAAAATTCACTGTAAATTTATTTTAATTTAATTCTGACATTGGAGGTTTCTTGTTGATTACAACATATTTAAATCTTATTTTTTAGCAAAGATTTAAGGATGTCGGAATAAAAAGCATTCTAAAAGAGAAATTTAAATTATTTTTAAAACTTCCTATTCTGTTTATTTCCTACATTTTATACCACAATATAATCGAAATTCACGCTAAATATTAATTTAATTATTTACTTTTGGCTTTGTGATTTTTTTATGTCTTCAACATTCTTAAATTTTGTTCATTAGCAAAGATTTAAAGATTTTGATGACATTTAGAACACAAGAATAAAAAGCATTCCGACAGAGAACTTTAAAAGTTGTTCGTAAAACTTTTCCAGATGTTTAATACGAAGTTTATTAGGTGGAGGCTACTTCAAAACTCATTAAGTGGGTATTCTAATCCACATAGGAAATAATTACACTGTAAAAAATTCTGGAACAAATTACGGTAAAAAGTACTGAAATCCTGAGTGAAACATCCATAAAACCCCTTTTTACTGTAAAATTTGATATCGTAATTTTTTCAGTAATATTTATTTAATTGCAGCGATTCAGTGATTTTACAGCAAATATATCTATATAAAATAATGGTATAGCAGAATTGTTACTTAAAATTTCACCGTAATTTGATTCGGAATTTTTTTCGGTGTGGGATCTGTTCTGGAAATTAAAAACCACTCCTTGTAAATAGTTTGTAGGTGAATATATTGAAGAATGCTTTTATTTCTAGCCTGTTAGTGACAGCATGATATTTCTTTATTTTCTTTTTTTTTTAAATGACAATCATGCCATATTATTTGCTAGCCCCAATGAGAAGAGTGGTAAATGTTATCACCACATTTAGTTATAATACTATATATAGTAAGGTAACAGATGAAACGAACTTACTGGCATTTGTGATATAGCGTTGCTCTCTACATTGAAGTCTGTCATGAGAACGCACTGGCTAAGAGATTTTGGTACCGATGTCAGTTGATTGTATCTAAAAGAAAAGAGAGTTTTATAAAGTACAATGAAATCTAGCTACTTCTTTAGGTATAATTTTGTAGATGAAATTTTAAATGATCTTATCTTTGCTCATTCTCTAAAAGTATAGGGGAGAGTGGGGTCAATTGTAACAGGGTACGATTGTAACAGAGCAAAAATTTCGAGTGTCGGGTTCTAGATTTGGTTCCTAGGTGGCGCACAAGGTGTATTTAATAAATCTACATGTACACCCCTGATGGCAATCATTTTTATGTACTTTTGAAAGAGTTACATCACAAAAGATATTTTCACGCCACGCAAGTACTTTTTTTGGTATTAGAATATTATATTGTAACAAAGTAATTTTGTTTAAACAAATAAAAATTAGTAACCGAATATGTAAGTGGACACTTTAATTAACATTTCAATAAAAAAAAAGATTAGTTTTGCTAATTAACTAGCATTGTTTTTAACAAATGAAGCTGAAATGGCGTCTTGGGGACAATTGTAACAATAAGTAAAGGGACGATTGTAACAGCTGAAAACAAATAATCTTATGTTTACAAACCATTACTTAACTCTTTAAGAACCACCAATAGTTTCCTATATCATTTATATTATGTTGCATGTGCATTATTTCATTTGTCACCTTTCACAGCATAAATTAAAATTTTTAACCCCTTAATGTTAAAAGTTTAACCTTTTAGGTTTCTGCTCATTATTATTTTTACTTCTAAAATATCACTGCTATTTTGATCAATAAAAAAATATATCACAACTATGATAATATGTATAATTAACTATGTTTTGGTTGAATTTATGAACTGTTACAATTGACCCCGTAAGTGGGGACAATTGTAACAACTGCACGACTGTCAAAAATTGTTAATAACTAATATAATAATATTTAAAATCAGGTATTTATTTTTTTTTTCTAGTAGAGGATAGTCTACTTTACTCGTCTGTCAATTAATACTAATAATATATTGGATTTTTTGTTAGTTAAAAATAGTAAAGTAAAAAATTTTACAATTGACCCCACTCTCCCCTACATATGACTCAAAAACATAAAGCAGTTAGAGGTTAACCCTCCGCATTAGGTTTATAGAAGATTGTTGTCACACCACACTTCAGGAGTAAAAGACATTTCTAGCTTTGACGTGCCATCTTATTGGTTTCATAGAAAATATCAAATTCTTTTCCAGGACCATAATAATAGTAGACTCAGTAGCTGCAAAACAGTCTGTTACGTCGAATCACCGAATCATGGCTTGTATTATTTCACGCATTAAACAAACAATCGAATTTTCAAAAATAATAATAACGTGATCGTATTGCAATGGATCCCATCGCATTTAGGCATTGAGGGTAGCGAAGGAATTTTTTAGTAAAGCATGGAACATTAAAAAGACTTCGACTAATCACTATAGGCTCACGAAAGTGCTAAAGAGCATGAAACAGAACAAAATTTATGACCTATAAGAAAAAGCTGTGGAAAAAGTCCATGAAAGTTGGAAAGACTATAAATATAAATCCAGCTATCCAGCAGCTAATTTTATGCATAAAACAGGTCACGATTGTCCAGTAAAACATCTAAACAATATTAGCATTTTTCAGCGCTTCTAGCATTACTAAAAGCGAGCTCTTGTAGTTACAACCTTTCTACGGCTTCCTTTACCAGCATTACAACTCTCCATTGCCAAAATTGCAATAAACGAACTCTGTATGTTTCGAGTTTTTTGATATTTTACTGTGCCAATGTTACAATGAACGAATTCTGTCTATTATATAGTGCGGCTTCCAGGAGAACTCCTCCAGGTACTATGGTTACGAGGAAAGGTCACTTCGAATAGGGGTGTGGGGTGAATAGTTTTGTCCTAATCTTAATGTAGGTCGTCGTGGGTAAACCAATCGACACCTTTTTTCCTCCATTTCACCCCCATTAGGAATATGCTCTCGCTTGTTACCATAGCAGCAGACAGCCCCAGACTTTCAGTCTGGAGGAGTTCTCCTCAAAGCCGCACTACTAATACTAATACTAGCGGGCTCATGGCCAGTATTGCAGTTAGAAGATAATATCCCTTATTGTATCATGGAAAATTGTTTTTGTAAAAATCCGCAATTAATAAAAATTAAAAACTAAAACATAGACTTACTTGAGACCGAGTCTGCTTAAGTTCTGGAGTAAACCTATTGTTTCTGGTATATCGACTAACTCATTGTGCTGAACATCCAATGTGGATAAAAGGGTGCATTCACCAATCTCTGAAACAAATATAATACAGATGAAATTTCAGAATATGTAGCAGAGTTTCACGAAAGTAAAATTTAAAAGATTTATTTAAATTACATATAAAAGAAAATGATTTAGAGCAATCGGATGTTCTATCAGGGCCAAAATCGAAATAAACAACCATTTTCTATTCTTCTTTTTTTCGTTTTCCCCCCCTTTAGATTAAAGCTAAACAAAAAGTTTCGAAAACAATTCAGCATTTTCTTTTCTTTTCTGAGGGTTATAGGAAAATTGGCCCCTTTAGCTGGAAAACAACACAATACAGTGCTGCTTATCGCGAAGCGAAGTTTTTGAAAACCAGCTATTTTGCTTCCCTGAGTGGAAATATACTGGTTGTTCTCTATTGACTGCCTTAAATATATAATTTTAAAGCCTTATATAATCAAAATTGAGGTTCAAAAAAATACAAATCACTATTTAAGCAAAGAATGGCAGAAACGCTATCAAAATCTAACGAATTCCAAGAGAAGATACCTACTGTAACGGACACCGAATGAAAAATAGCGAAACCAATTTGATTGTCCTCTGTAAACTGGAGGTATTTCGAACAATCATCTTTCATTTCTTTTTGCAGTTTCTTATGGCAACCAAGCACGTTTTCAGTTTTCAAGCTTTCAACCCAACCTTTCTCAGTAATGGCACGATAGATTATAATAGCATTTTTCCTCGCTCTTCAATATTATCTTGCCATCCATAATGTGTACATTTTTTTCCAATGTTCACCTGTTTGACACTCGTCATTAAGGTATCAGTAGGACAGATTTGCTGACCACTCTTTCTGGAGCACGTTGCTCCCATTGTAAGGACAGATAGTACAGAGCATGAAAGAACAAGCATGCCTTGTCTGGGATTCGAACCCAGAACCTTGCTAATGGGAGGTCAGCTCCCTGACCACTACACAGTCCGGTCGGCATAATGTGTGTGGTTTTTATTCCATTTTTGACAAGTACTCTAAAATTATAGATTAAGAGCGGTCATTACGGATCACTTCATGTATGTTTTGCGTATACAATAAATCATTTATTAAATAACTAGTTGTAGGCCATGGGGGTTAAGGTTTCAGAATTTTGAGGCCAATGGACTGGTCCTGGTGAGGAGGTGAGCATTGCCCGCAAGCCACTTTTACTTCCTCTACAATCTGGTATCGAATCGACAGATCTGAAACAAGGTGTGCTTCAAGTCCCAGACCGGGATACAACCCCGGATTTACGTGAAAGCTCAATGCTTTAACGGGAAAGTTTTAACACCCTGAAGAGATCAGGAATTATTTGTTACAAATGAAATATGAAATCTGGCTGAAAATTTTTTGAGTATACTGTCTCATAATTTTTCAAATTGTTTCTCGTTTCAGCGTTAGGATAGGTTAAAGTTGCCAACTTTTACTTTCAGCCAGAAACTTTCCCAAAATATTTTAAGGGTGACGAAAAATTTAAAATGTAATATATTATTTCATGTTTAAAAAATTCAAAATATTTCAATAGTTGCAAATTAAAATAATTTTAACTACCATGAATAATTTATACACATATAAATAATTCGCGCAAATAAATATATGAAATCAAATGATCACGTAGAGATAGGTTTAAATACTAGCTAAATTTTAAATTAAATCTGCTGATATTCGGTTTTGTGACTTTATTGACATATATTGTGACTTTAAGGCATACATTGTGACTTTAAAGCATGTATTGTCGTATATTGTGACTTTAAGGCATATATTGTCATATATTGTGACTTTAAGGCATATATTGTCATATATTGTGACTTTAAGGCATGCATTGTGACTTTAAGGCATATATTGTCATATATTGTGACTTTTAAGGAAAAAATACCAGAATTTGCAGTTTTTAAAAGAAAATGGATAATTGCAATTATTTTTAGTTAGTTAAAAAGGAATAGGAGAAATACTAACCAGGAGGCAAATGTTTTAAGTGATTGTTCGAAACATCAAAAGTGACTAGTTTCTTCAATTTACCGATTCCTTTCGGTAATTCACTTATCCTGTTCTCCCTTAGGCTCATCATCGTCAGATTCTGAAAAAAAAAACATATTAATTAATTTAAGAGCGTTTGAACTGAAATGCAGATAAACTTTGGCAAAGCCGACATTTTGGGGGCCAAGAAGGTAGCCAGATTAAAAGATTTTACCGTAAAAAGAATGGACATGCTAATCAAAAAATTTAATGCTCTAAAATGTTTTTACTAAAGTAGTGGTTAATTGAAAGCTAAATTACAAATAAGGAGCTGCAATATTCATATAAACTTGATAAAATCAATGTGATTAAATTTGTATAAAAATACAATGTATGCATACTTGTATAACTAACATGCAAAGTCTTGCAAAGATGGTACAAAAAGAAAGATCGTTTTTCACAAAACGGGGTTTAGTCTTATTAGATCTTCAAGATGCATTTCAGTTTACTTAATATTTTAACTCAAATTTCATCCTTTTTAGAAATATAAATGTGTCTTGGTTTGTTTATGCAGATTTAGGTGGTATGCGAGAAATTTTATTTTCGTTTTTAAAACTGAGCAAGTTGAACATCAGATTCCTACAGTTGAACATTCAAGAAAAATTTAAAAACTTTTAGAAAAACATCAAAGAATCAAAATATTTAAATTAAATACTATCGACTAAAAACTTTGTAAATTAAATATCTGTGTTACAACTGACCATGGACGAAATTGACGTAAAATTAAAGTCGTTAAAATGTACGATAATCTCATAAGAACGATTCACTCAGAGCTCAATGTTACTGACATTCCTCAAATCACGTTTGAATTCGAATCCCACTATTCTTCACACCTATAAGCCATCTTTGTAAATTGTAACAAGCACATAAGGCTGCCTCTTTATGTGTAATAATAAGTAAATTAGTCGAGTGGATAGAGCACTCGCCTTCCGATAAGAAGACCTGGGCTCGAATGATACGAAATCCGCACCTGGCTCGCTCCGACCACAGTGCTGAAGAAAAACATCCTCAGTGGAAGAAGCATTATGGGTTAGAGTCCTCTTGCCTTCAGACTAACCGTGGGAGGTTTTCGTCTTTTTTCTTTCCATGTAAAGCAAAAGCGGGTTATTTCCATCAAAAATACATCCACGAAGGCAAATTTCTCCCAATACTTGATCCAAAAGTTCTCTTGCCTTCTGGATAGTGTTCAAATTTACTAGGCTACGGAGTGAAGCATTGGTATTCGTAAATTATATTCTGAGTTACAAACATCTTATATTTAATCATGTGAAATTGTTTCTTTTTATTAACTTAGCACCCCTACTGAAGATTGGACATCAATATCTCTTCCGATTGATATGTTTATTTTCTTTGTGACGTTTGTTTGTATTTAGTTCATTTCTAAGTAACGCTGTTTTCTGGATTTCATATTTAATATTCTACCTATTTGTTAAAACTCTAATTTGAAAATTTTGAACATGTTTGCTTATATGATTGAACTGTTGCGCGCACTTTGAACTTTCGGAGTGTCCCCTTGCGGGGGTGGGGTTAAGCTAGTTATTGGTATTCGTTAACTCAAAATAGGTCACATGGGTAAATTTAATCACGGATTGAATAATTCTCTCAGTAACTGGTAAATTTCAAAACAACTTCGTCACCAATTTTTAAATTTAACCTCCTGTGCTTGGGGCCGATTTCGGCTCTTGTGCCATTCAGCTAAAAAACTTTACAATAAATCTGAAGGATCTTATAAGAAAAATATTAGCCTCAAACAGAGGAATAAAGTTCAATTATGAAATATTTCTTACCTGCAAAAAAGCAATTTCTTCTCCAACTATTCTTATTCTATTAAACCTCAGATATAGAGTCGTCAGTGAGGTCAACTCGTAAACGACTTCTGGAATCTGTAAATAGAACATTAAAAAAATTCCCTATTAACGTGCATTTCAGATAAAAGCTTAAATTCAAAACAATCAGGCCAAAGCATCTGAAATCTTATCAAAGATTATTGGGAACGTCGAAATTCTTATGAAATTAATAATGAGAAGAGAGAACGATACAAATGAAAAAATTTGATGATACTCTTTTTCTGAAAATAAAAAGATCCTCCGCGATATTGCCCTGTTCACTGAGTGTGTTTATATAAAAGTTATTTTAACAATGCCTCTATGAAAATAGTGGTTTTATATTTGCCCTTAACACTTTCCGAGACAACAAATTTCGGTTGAAAATTTTAGGCAGACTAGACATTTGGCAAGTGCGACCTCAGAAAGTACATTCTAATTGAAATGATGTATCAAAATTCTTTGTTGTTCCGGCCAGGTGGTCGAGTGGTTAGCGTGTCTGACTGCGGAGCTGATGGTCACGAGTTCGAATCCTGCTCAGGGCATGGACGTTTCTTTCTCTCTCTGTGCGCTCTATGTCCTTTCTCCTTTGTGTGTGTGTGAATGTAACCCGCTCTATAAACGGGTTTGTGGTTGTGTGACGTGGGCGACGCTGCTCCACCGCAGTGGCTTCGCCACAGGTGCCCACTGGGTATCGAGAAGACAGTAGCAGTTAAAAAAAAATTATTTGTTGCTTAAAGAATAGTGGTGGCTATTCCTTAACACGTTCACGCCGGGGTGACCCACCGGTGGGTGGTGGGTCACGCTAGATTGTCTCATCGGGCGGCGCACCGGAGTAAAAACAAATACAATACAACGTAACAAATACATTTCATTTTTTAGTGTCTCTTTTTCCGGGAATAATAAAAATCCGTAACTACCAATTGTTTTTAACGGATGCAATTTTTATATTGAATTGCTTCTTCGCCGTGATTAGTTTCCTTACAATGAATTGTTATTGTTGAGAATAGATTAACTCCTCCGAAATATTATCTAGAAATTGATATAGTTGAATATTAAAATAGTTCTTCTACCAGTATTTTCTCTTTTCCGTCCCGTTTTCAGGAGCAACACCTGGCGTCAACGTGTTAAACAACTGTTTTATATTTACATTTAATTAGTTTTACATTTCTAGTGTTGTCAGATGGGCAACTCTGCACCGGAAAGGGTTAACTAGCGGCAATTATAAAAGTCGCGCTTGAACTTGTTAGGCTTCTAGTTTATTCACAAAAGTTTCTGTTCGTTACAGTTTCACAAGACGGTAACTTAAATCGAAATAAGAAAAAAAATTGGAGTGATACCATTTCAGCTTTCGGAAGTAGTAACATACCAAAACTTATAATGTTATAATATAACTTACATAAAAATGGAGAACAAATTTCTTGTTGCATTTATACAAGTACTTGTTCTTACCTAATTGGGGTGTGGAGCTTTCAAATTTATAATTAGCTTTGTTCCGAAAGCTGCAGATTTTTTTCAAAGTAGTATTTTTAGTTTAGTTTATTTATTATCGGAATGTGCAAATTTGTTTAGAACGTATAGGTTTATATGCATAGATATACACTTGTTTGCTCTTTTAAAAATAACATTTAAGACAAAAAAAGCATATAACCTTAACGTATCACATCATAAAGTGAAATGTATTATCACCTTTATTCTACCACTCCCTACGTAGCACATTAGTAGGGATACTTAGTACTCACTGGAGTGATTTTTGAAAAATCCTGGTTAGGAAAATATTATAAAATAGCAGAAAAGTGAAGCTCGTAGAGAAAGGTCTATTGCAGATTTGAAATCAGTGACGAATAAGATCCGTTCAACAAACAGTGGCCAATGGTTTAACGATCATGATTTTGAATGAGATAGACCTAAGCGGTTGAAAAAAAATACTTTTGAATTTCTTTAAATTATATGAAATCGTTCTGACGAGCCGCGATGGCAAAGGGGATAGAGCGTTCGCCTTCCAATGAGGCAAACCAGGTTCGAATACCACTCGATACGAATTCCGCATCCGGCTTGCACCGACCACAGTGATGACGTGAAATATCCTCAGTGGTAGACAGACCATGGGTTAGAGTCCCCTTGCCGTCAGGCTAACTGTGGGAGGTTCTCCTGGACTTCCTCTCCATGTAACGCAAATGCAGGTTAACTCCATCAAAAGGTCCTCCACGAAGGCAAATTTTCTCCCAATACAGGAATTCCCTTGTCTCCTGGATTGGATTCAAAATTACAAGGCTACGGAGTTGAACATTAGCAGTCGTAAACCCATAAAATTGGGTCGGCTGTTAAACGACGGTTATAAAATAAAATAAAATAAAATATTTCTGATTGGCCAGGATAGCCTGGTTGGTAGGGCACTAGGCCCATGTCCAAGAGTTCGTGGGTTCGATCCCAGCCGGTCGAAGACTCCCCGTGTAGTAAATGGTGACTGATGCACGTTAAATCTGTCGAGTCGCAAAGTCCTCCATGTTCCCATAACAAATCAATACTTCTAGGGGTACTGATCCAGGAGTTTCTTTGTCTTCTGGATTGACTCAAAATTACAAGGCTAGGGAGGTGAACATTAGTAGTCGTAAATCTAAAAAATGGGGTCGGCTGTTCAATGACGGTTATAAAATTAAAATTGATTCTGACCCGTTATTTATCGATTGTATGTGATACATGACATGCAATTAAAAAGAGATGAGAAACTTACTTCGTTTAATTTGTTATGCCTGAGGTCTAGTACTTTGAGACATCGAAGGTTTGAAAGAGAGTTGGGTAGACTAGTTAGAGAGTTCTCACTCAGAGCAAGAGTTTTCAAATTGACTAGACAACCTATTTCTGTCGGAAGGGTCGACAGCTTGTTTCCATAGAGATACAACTCTTGCAAGTGCGTCAATTCTCTCACCAATACTGGCAGTTGTGTAATCTGCGAAAAGAAGTGACAATTACATTTTACACTACATCCGCACTGAAGATATACAAGGAATTATTTCTTTGTACATTTTTAGAAGCCGCAAAGTGAAAAATTATAAAGTATGGTTGTTAAGGCAAATTTATGAAAATATTTCTATACTGTATGTAAACAATCTTTCTTTTAGCATCAGGCTGCCAAGTGGCCGAGCGGTTAACGTGTCTGACAGCGAATACAATAGCTGAGGCTTCGAACCCCGCTCAGGGCATAAATGTTTCTCTCTGTGTGATGTCCTCTGTTGTGTGTGAATGTGGCCCACCCTATGAACGGGTATGTGTGGCGTGGGTAATGTTCCAAGGGCGAAGAACGATAAATTCAATGCCTGCCGTAAAAATAAAAATAACATTAAGCTTCAAATGTTGCGGAAGGATTTTACTTGGCAGAAATCGTGTCATTTTTATCCAGGCAGAATTTGGACAGACCAAAATGAACGTAGGAATTTAACTTCTTATTAACTTTTAATGGCTTGAACACCAGCAATTTGAAATGCTTCTAAAGAAAAAAATTTTTCTTTTTTATTTCTAGTGGCGCTGTGAAAGAAAATCGACTCTTAACTTCCTACGTTCATAGTTGTCTATGCAAATTTCGTATGGGTAAAAAAACATCATTTCGAAAAGCTTCAAGGAGGATCTTTCATCCTTGCCCATTTTTACCCCGTTAAATGTTCCACAACATTTGCAGGTTAAAATTATGATTGCTTGCAAAGAGTTAGTATAAAAGTGTTTCCATGTCCCCTGTAGTGGCAAATTTATGAATACGATCCAAAAAAAAGTATATTGGAGTGAATAGTTTTCTTATTTTAACTCTCAAATGGTTGATAATATATGCAGGAATGCCAACTGCTCCGCTTACAGCAAAATTTTTAATAAACTGGTACCGAATTAAGTAGTAAAACTCGTGTAATGAGGATAAATACGCTTACTCTTTATAAATGCCACAACGAGATAACTGTCTATGCCTATGTGAGGTAGTTATCTAAGTTTCGTCCCGGTCAGGGGCCCTAACTCAGTCATCTGAGTGGAGAAATATTAAGAATAGCCGAAGCTCATATCAATGGAATAATAATAAAGATGGGCAATGCAAGATTAAAATAAACATTTAGAAAAGAATATGTACAAGAATATGTACAAGAGAGATAACTGCAATTTGATATGGCACTTTGAATTTTTGATATGTAGTGGTAGAAAAAATTACTTAAGCTGAAAAATACTGAACTAAAAATAACTTTCGTAACCACTAGAAAATATTTTCTTACAAAGGGGAGTTGGTTTCGTACGGAGGGAGTTGGCATTTGTATATATGCAGGGCCGGAGCAAAGCATTCGCAACCTCGTCAAATGCTGTAAAATCGTAAATTTGGAGAATAAATTTGTTTTTGCAAAAGTATTGATGAATGATTTTTTTCCACTGGAAAGAAAAATATATATTTATCTCGGTCCTCAAAATTACGCCAAAATGAGTTTTCTAAACAAATCAGTATTTTTTATTCGATAACAATAATTTTCGGTGGATGCACCGCATAACCAATCAGAATTGGGACAAAATAATATAAGCCTGAAACAANAAGTGATTTTATAATTATTTTTGTCAAAAAGGTGTCACTTCGATTAAATCTAATGTCAAAAATGAAACCAAGCACAAAATTAAATAATAGTTAATAACAGTTAAAAAACGATGACATTATTAATAATAATAATAAATTAATAATAATAAATAAATAATAATAAATTAATAATTATAATAATAATAAATAATAATAATTAATAATAAATTAATAATTATAATAATAATAAATAATAATAAATTAATAATTATAATAATAAATAATAATAATTAATAATAAATTAATAATTAAAATTGCTAGCATTAATAACAAATTAGTGCTAATAATTTTAATTCCTTAGCGTGGTCCCTATATATGCTTCAATGATGTAAAAAGTGCCTTAATTAAAAAATGTGGTAGCAAAAATTGCTTTATAGCCATTAGATGTTTCTTTCTTGTATCTACCATTTCAGCTTTTAAAATAAACTGCGTTTTAACTTCTTATTCAAATATTGTAAAAAGAGGAATCAAAACATTTTAGAAGTTGGCATTGAATGCAACAAGTGTACATAAAAAATAACGTTTTACTTATAAAATTTGATTTATTAAATGAATTAAGATTTTTTTAACAGCATTTAATTTATAACTTTATGATTAAATTGCTTGTTTTAATATTTCTGATATTTTATTTCGGCAAATAAAGGAGAAAATCTATATTAAAAATTACCTGAAATTGCTTTACATAAAAATTGTTCAAAAACATGATTAACAAAACTAACTTACATTTGCTTTACTAAGATCTAATCTTTCAGCACCTTCTTCCTTACATTTTAGGATTTCTCTTGGAATGTCCTGAAAAAATAAAGAGGCGCAATTTTGAACAAATTATTCCCAAGAAAGAATATATTTTTATAAAAGAAAGAAAAAAATGATAATCAACAATGAATGAGATGTTCATGAAACACGCCTTTTCATTTATCTAAAAATTGTATCGTTGTTATTGTTACAAATCTCTGATTATCTAGCTTCATCTTTGGTAGCTAAAATGTAGGAAGGGAAGGCTATGTCGGCAGAAGCAGAATAACAGTGGCATTCTGAGAAAAACTTTTGACCCGGTCGAAAAGTGAGGCCACCTATATGACCACTCATGAAGCACGAGTAGACGTTTTGGTTCTGAGCTGGAAAGACTCACCTGGACATATTCCAAAATATCGTGAGTGGCTGAGAGTTCTCATACGATTGTTTAGTTCTATTTTAGTAAGTGATGAAATATTACTAGGTGTGAGATTCCACCACAACGCACAGATTCCTGAGCAGCAGACCTAGCCAAGAAGTCGGCCCTTTCCTTGCCCTCAATTCTTGACGTATGCAATTTAGGCAGAGGGGGTGCGATTGTTCTTGTTTTTCCAGTGGCGCTATCTATGGCCAAGAATTCGACTTCTGCCACACCCATACGTCATTCATACACATATTCATTCATCCACATATCGTAATTTTGACCTGAATCAGAGAACAAACGATCTCCAATTCAGTATCCCCAGAGGTATTGATTTGTTATGGGAACAAGGAGGACTTTGAGACTCGACAGATTTAACGCGCATTACTCCTCATTTACTACAAAGGAAATGTTTCGGCAGGCAGGGTTCGAGCCCACGTCCTCTTGGACATGGGGTCAGTGCCCTACTAACCAGGCTATCCCGGCAAACTCTTACATGTGATAGGATCTACTGAAAATCCATTGTACATAACTGGATCTTAATTAGGATTTGAGGAAATAAACTTACCAAATCAGCTTGAATGGATTTTTTCTTCACTGTAGGCTTTGCTGTCTTTGTACCCGGGGGATGTACTGTGACATGCTTGGGCCGTGAAGTTTCACCACCTCCTAAAGAGCCGGAGCTTAGTTTCTTCTCCTGAGAACAAAAACAATTTAAGTTAACACTGGAGTATTGCATGTACTTAATCTTATCTAATTTAGGTGTGGTAATTTCAAATGTGAAATTAGTTTCGTTCGGAATGCTACTTATTTTTTTTCAAAATGATATTTTTAGTTTAGTTTGTTTTTCTGTCTGAATGCACAAGTATTTAAGAACGTTTAGGTTTTTGAATTATATACATATATGTGTAATACAAAATGTGGTTTTTGTATTTTGTATATATATGAGATCCATCAGATACTTCTGCTCACGAAAAAATACGCCACATTGTACAAAGATACAAAAGGTGACTTTTTAAAAAGAAAAAGAAATTAAGGCATTTTCCACTAAGTCAGGGCTCGAAAAAACTCAGAAATTTTACCCGTCCCCGAGGACGGTTTGTCCAACAATGTACCCGTCCTCCTTTGAAACTAACCCGTCGCTTCTAAATAAATAAAAATATAATTTTCTCTTATTTATTACAAACATTTATATAAATTGCACAATGAATTAGTAGTTACTAGGATTACATTATACAGTAATAAAAGAAATACTAGGTTACTAATAGTAAAACCTAGTATTTCTATTATGAAATAATTTATTTCTTTGATGAAATAATTTAAATAACAAAGGTTAAGTTATCTGTCAATTATCATGTCAATTTATCCGATGGTACTGCGTTTTTTAAATGAATCAAATATGACGTTTGCCAGTTCCACAATCAAGCCAATGATTTACAGAGGTTTCTGCACAGAAATCTGAAAGAGGTTTTCCATTTAGGTAGATGTTCATAAATGCGTTTAACGCTTCTTGTTTAAGACCAGTAAGTAATGTGTTTTTTTTATAAGTTCATTGCTGAAAAGCCCCTTTCAACCGCTGCAGTACTACCAGACAGAGAAAACATCAATTCCACCATGCGCAGTATGTTGCTGTATTTCGAGATTAGAGGGTCATTTTAGAAGAGAGGCGCTAGACTCTTGTAAGATAACAAAAATTGAAAATGTATCACGAACATTAACGGGAAAATGGCCGTCCGCGCGGACGCTGGATTCGAGAAATTTGTTGTCCGAGGGGAATTTTTGACCGCCGAGGACGGGCGGATTTTTGAGCCCTGCACTAAATGTATACATCAGATGTATGTATCACTTAGTTCTGTCGATGACTTTCGTTGCAAGTAGAAATATGAATGCTCATATTCTCTTGCGCCATATAATATGCTCTGTCTCTTTAAGCTGGAATATTACCATTGAGTTAAAGGTAAATACCCTATATATACCACTTTCTTTTATAAAAGAACCTTTTTCATTACTGTAAAATGAGGCGCGTGCTTAAACGGACAGAAGATTCCGGTAGATCTAATGTATATTACGATAGCATTTCAGCAAATTTGTTAACTAAAGCAAGAAGACATATTTTGTTATATTTATTTGAAAAAATTATCAGGATGATAGTCAGCTGCTTTTACACGATAGCTGACTGCTGTCTACTACGCGGAAAAAAAGACCCTTTTTTTAAAAAATTTATTCCTGGTATTTTTAACTAAGACGTTTGACTAGTAGACTAATTACGAGGCAGATTTTGTCTTTTTCTTCTTTGAAAGCGTTATGATATTTTAAGTCAATAAACATTGTCAACCTTTGTCAAAATTTAAATCACGTCTAATTTCAAAAAAATGAAATGAAAACAATTTTTTTTTCTCTAAAATCAGAGCATCCGGAATTTAGATCAAACGATTAAAATCTGCCATTTAAATCGCGATTTTACTTACAGTGGAAGAAGGCGTCCTCTCTCTCATTTCAATATCCACCGATGGAGGGTGCTCGTGTCGGTCGTTGTTATCCCCAGTAGCACCACCTCTACCGCAACACTCCACGTGGCAACACGAGGTGTGTTCCTTCTGAAACAAATAACATTCCTATAATTCTAACACAATTTCACATAATCGGTAAACAGTAAAAAAGAAGGAAAAAAACTTTACCATGCATAGGGGAGTTGCCTAAATCGATCCACTTTTTACGTTTAAATTTTTATTTGCCACAAATCACTGGCAATTCGCGATCGCAAACCCTCGAATACGGGATTTGTGTCTTCCCCCTTCCCTCTCCTCCTTTGCTCAGATATATGAGAATGAGTTACGATCTTTGCCCCTTCCATAATATTTTTTACATTTAGATTGCCAAAAATATGTTTCAAAATTTTCCACGATCCTTTCATATTTTTTTTCTTATTTTATAACCGTCTCTGAACAACCGACCCAATTTTGGGTTTACGACTACTTGTGTTCAACTCCGTAGCCTTGTAATTTTGAACCAATCCAGAAGACAAGGAAACTCCTGGATCAGTACCCCCAGAGGTATTGATTTGGTGTCGGAACATGGAGGACTTTGCGACTCGACAGATTTAACGTGCATCAGTCACCATTTACTACACCTCAGTCTTCGGCCAGAGGGGATCGAACCCACGACCTCTTGAACATGGGCCGAGTGCCCTACCAACCAGGCTATCCCAGCCGATCCTTTCATAATGTAATACACATGCTAATTATGAAAGCATGTCTAGTTGTCATAAGTAAAGAGTCCTGCTTTGCCACCTGTAGCTCATTTCGATCGCCAATCACGGGGGAAATATTTTAATAATTACGGTCATTCAGCTACTTATATTATTTTTTTGGTAATAAAATTTGTACAAGTACTTAAAAGGAATTATTTTCGCAAGATCAGTAAGTGGTACGATTTAGAAAACTGGTTGCCTATGTACCACCTAATCCCTTCAATCGTACCAACCTCAAAAATATTGAGTATTTTTGATTAAGTGAATAATTAGACCATGCGTAATTAGAAACAATTGTTTGTTAACATAATAAGAAATGTAATATTAAATTTTTGAACTATTACCAAGGATAATATAACAGTATCATAATCTATAAAGTCAATGGAACAATGACCTTATAGGTTTATGATACTGTGAGTCAATGGAACATGATGTTACGCGCTGCAAGAATTAAGCGTGACTTTCATGACTGCCACTTTTTGAGATCAGTAATCAATCTTCTTCTTCTTCTTAGGTTTTAGAAATCGGGAAAATGGTTCAATTAAAACATTCAACATAAGAAGTATTGGAACAGATCGGTCTATCAAATCGCATTTCCAACCAACAATTACTCTTTCACTTCTTGACTGAACAGAAGGCTCGTCTTTTCGACGTTCTTCAACATTTTTTACTTCTTAAGAATACGGAAAATAAATATCATCACAAGAATATTAAATCCCTTTAAATTTACTGAAATCGTTTCATTTCTTTACGATTGATTCAAGCATAAATTTAGGTTTCCTGCTGTCAAAAAGTAATTAAAGGTTCTTGCACCAGAATAGTTAAATCCTTTTAAAGTTGTTTTTCGAAGGCTTCGTCGCTATATGAAATGATACTTTTCCTAGAATAATATGCTATTTTCACATCTACTGTGAGTTTTTAACAGCTGAGAGGACAAGATTAGCCTCTCTATAAGCTTTGTGATGCTTAATTAAAATTGCTTAAACGGAAAATGGCGCGAAACGTCAATAAAAGACACATTTTTATGAAAATGAAAAGTGTTTGCGGTCTAATTTTTGAATATTTAAAAACTTACTCCAAAGCTGCATTACCTGGGCTTATAAATATTTGCAAGAGAAAACCGAGAATAATACAGTGATTTTGATAATTTTCATTTGGGTGGGTAATTGTCGCCTAATTGGTGATTTTTAAAATATTTTAATAACTCTTAAAATATTTAAATTTTTCATCCGTTCTAAAGCCCAGATAATTTTTCACTGCAAGATGATACATACCAATATATAATTTAAAATCCTCGTTTTGCTTGAAGTGCAAGCACTTAAACTATGGCTTATTGATTTTTCTTGGAGACAGAATTTCGAAAAACGATGTTAAACAGAGTTCTCTGTAGTAGTTTTATTATAAGCTTCACTCACGAGATAAGAAATTTGATATTTGGTGAAAGTTAGTCAAATAATAGGCTCTCAGACACTTTTCGTCAGTTTGGGAGCAATACAGTGTCAATAACTTCATAATCGACCAATTTAGTAGGTATGACCTATTTCTGGTATGATTTAGGCAACTACTTTAAACAAAATGTTATTTCTAGCCTCAAACAGTAGTTAGTCAACAAAGGAACAAGTAGAACGTAAATGAGTAAGTTGCTTAACAATCATATGGTAATCTCTACAATACTTTAATTCTGTAAAATCCTTACACAAGATGTTCAAAGGCTATATTCTAAACAAGTAAAACCGATTAACTTAAATAAAAATTTAACACAAGTACACAGCAACTTGACTCTTCTGCCACGTTAGAAAAAAGCTTCCTATTTTACCCGCTAGTGTTTTCTATACAATGCTTCTTTAGAAATCAGAGATGGTAGACTTCGATTTGGGAGCAGTACAATTTAGGCAACTTTCCACTAAGTGCTAAATCGTAAAGTAATTTTAATATAAAGTTTATGCAGCAACTTTCTATTAATAATTAAAAATTGATGGCCAATGAAAAAACAATTACAAAATAAAGTTTTCTCGAGCCATTTTTAATGATAACTGTTATGGCAGTTAAAACATTGTGATTCAAACAAATTTCATGAAAAATATCATAATTCTCCAAGAAACTTTTCAGTAAAAGGTACTGTTACTCTTTGTGTTTCTCATGCATCTTACAGATTTATATTTAACAGGGTTCCCACGGTCCTTGAGAATTTTAAAAAGTGGTAATAAAAATAAAAGAAATTTTGACATTTTTATTTCTGTGTAGCCACCACTAAAAATTGTTTTCTAAAAAATATATATATGCACAAAAATTTCAGCACTTTACGATAAAAAAGTTTATTAAAATAAAAAATTATATTGTAGCTCCACCCTAAATTTGCTACCACTTTTTAAATTTTTCAAGGACCGCGGGAACCCTGTTTAAGTGGTAGTAAATTTCCCTTTTTTTCAAGGTACCACTTTAAAGTTTAAATTTCAGACAACTTATTCTCCCAAAGATGTATTTCCAAAGCACCAATGAAGCCCGGCTATTCCGGGGGGAGGCGAGAGAGTGCACAGGGAGTCTTCCCCCTTTTGTAAATAGTGTAAATATTCTTTCTTTATCTTCAATTTGTTCCCTTTATTACGTATCAACTTGCGATTTATTTTTATGTATGACTCAGACTTGATTTTATCAATTATTGTTCATTCTGAGATATAACTTAATGTTAACGCAGTACCTCCCTTCCACCACAAATTATTCAATTTAGATGAAAGAGCAGATATCCATACATGGATAGGTACTCTGAAAAACTTAATTAGTTAGTTAGTATTTCCAAAGATGCCAATTTGCTCCGAACAGAAAATAAATATTTTAAAGTGGTAGTTTATCATGTGATTCTTCGTTTAATAAATTCAATTTAGTAGATTTTTATCCACCACTATTGCTAAATAATTCGTAGGTTTATATCATTCACCACTTTATAGTAGTATGTCATGCTAGACCATTTAAAAAGCAAGCAAAAATAGCCAAATATTTGCAAAATTTACTTTGAAGTTATTTACCGTTTTTTAAATTATTTTGACGTGTCCGGAGCAGTTGGCATCTCTGTATTTCCTTAAAAAAGTATCTATAGTTACATATCAGGGGTCTGTCCAGACATTTTGTAAAAGGTCCTGTTTTTGTAAAATTGCGAAAAAACTATTCATAATTCGTGAATATAAAATAAGCGTTAAATCACATTCTTTCAACCAGGGTCTTGCTTTTGTGAATAGTGACCTGTTATTGCAAAATTGCTGAAAACCTTTTCAAGAAGTTTTTAAATTGTAAATAGGTACAAGATTTTACTCAACAATTGCTGCTTCTAAATTAGAGATGCAACATACAAATATTTCATATTTAGCTCATACTACTCAACACAGAATATTCATTTCGGACGGATAATGGAAACAAAATCACTCACATTTTCTATAATTTCAATTGACATATTTTAAATAACACAACTTAGTAATGTATCACTTTTAATGTGTTACGCGTTAAGTAAACTTAAACAATTCTTAAATTCATGATATTTTATTTAAAAAATTGCCAGAAATCAATTTTTATTTACATAATATTCTATTAATTTTATGAATAAATATAAATTGATCAATTATTTATTTAGTATTATCATTTAATATCAATAAGAATGTGCACAGGATGTTTGTATAAGTAGAAATATTTNATCATTTTGTGAAGGGTCCGTTTTTAAGTTAAAATATTTTGTGAAGGGTCCGTTTTTATGAAAAGATATTTTGTGAAGGGTCCGTTAACGGACTCAAATTTCTTCTAAACAGACCCCTGCATATGTATTAAATTATAGACGTTTGTTTCATTTTAGTAATCAATTTTGAAAACTTGATAGGTTCGTGGAAACTCTGTACCCAGACCTAACAGTTATACGGAAAAGAGAAAAATTACTGGCAGTAAAACTAGTTCAATTATAATTGTTTTTCGTGAGCACTAAAGAAAGCTCCCTATTACTATTCTTAATCATAAGTAATTCATCATTATTTACTTTCTTCTTGGTTAGAAACAGTCATATATACATATTATAACTGTTTAAAAAAATTATATAATATTTAATATTTCTTTCTATCGTCCCAAAAATCAGTTAGAATGAAGTGATTTTCTTAATCTGTTTTTGCTTATTAAGTTTTTCTAACAATTAGATAGGTAGTCCACTAGGTATAGCAAAGGAACCAACTTTTTGCTCACTGAGGGAATTTTTTCTTAATTTTAGCAACATTAAATGATTCTAAATATAAATCTTAGTTTCTAAACTTTAGAAGAAGAAAAAATTACTATACCCACCATGATAAATCAATAATTTAAACATGTATTCAATCTTTACGCTTTTAAGCATTCTCTCGAAATAGTTTGACTTTCAAAAATTCCTTCTAACTTAATTATAACCTAGCAACCACTTAATAAAAACT